GTGATGATGATGATGGTTGTTATGATGATGGTTGTGATGATGATGATGATGGATGTGATGATGATGGTTGTGATGATGATGATGATGGTTGTGATGATGCTGGTTGTGATGATGATGGTTGTGATGATGATAGTTGTGATGATGGTTGGGATGTTGACGATGATGGTTGTGATGATGATGGTTGTGATGATGTTGGTTGTGATGACGATGATGATGATGGTTGTGATGATGATGATGATGATGGTTGTGATGATGATGGTTGTGATGATGATGGTTGTGATGATGATAGTTGTGATGATGATGTTGATGGTGTGGTTGTTGATGTTGTCGTGGTTGTTGATGCTGATGAGGATGTTGGCGATGGCGGCTTGGGTGATGATGCCACGGTCAGTTGCCGATATCGCATGAGACAACACTGACGATAGTTGTGATGATGATGGTTGTGATGATGATGATGGTTGTGATGACGATAGTTGTGATGATGATGGTTGTGATGACGATGGTTGTGATGATGATGATGATGATGATAGTTGTGATGATGATGGTGGTTGTGATGACGATGGTTGTGATGATGATGATGATGATAGTTGTGATGATGATGGTGGTTGTGATGACGATGATGATGATGATGGTTGTGATGATGATGGTTGTGATGATGATGATAGTTGTGATGATGATGGTTGTGATGATGATGGTTGTGATGATGATGGTTGTGATGATGATGGTTGTGATGACGATGATGATGATGGTTGTGATGATGATGATGGTTGTGATGATGATGGTTGTGATGATGATGGTTGTGACGATGATGGTTGTGATGATGATGATGATGATGGTTGTGATGATGATGATGATGATGGTTGTGATGATGTTGATGGTTGAAATGATGATGATGATGGTTGTGATGATGATGGTTGTGATGATGATGGTTGTGATGATGATGGTTGTGATGATGATGGTTGAAATGATGATGATGATGGTTGTGATGATGATGGTTGTGATGACGATGGTTGTGATGATGATGATGATGGTTGGGATGATGATGATGATTGTGATGATGATGGTTGTGATGATGATGGTTGTGATGATGATGGTTGTGATGATGATGATCGTTGTGATGACGATGGCTGTGATGATGATGGTTGTGATGATGGTTGGGATGACGATGGTTGTGATGATAGTGAAGATGATGGTTGTGATGATGGTGATGATGGTGGTTGTGATGATGATGATGATGGTTGTGATGATGATGATTGGGGTGACGATGGTTGTGATGATGATGGTTGTGATGACGATGATCGTTGTGATGATGATGGTTGTGATGATGGTTGTGATGATGATGGTTGTGATGATGATGATGATGGTTGTGATGATGATGGTTGTGATGATGGTGATGATGGTGGTTGTGATGATGATGATGATGTTTGTGATGATGATGGTTGGGGTGACGATGCTTGTGATGATGGTTGTGATGATGATGGTTGTGATGATGATGATGGTTGTGATGATGGTGATGATGGTTGTGATGATGATGGTTGTGATGATGATGATGATGGTTGTGATGATGATGGTTAGGATGTCGATGATGGTTGAGATGACGATGGTTGTGATGATGATAATGGTTGTGATGATTATGGTTGTGATGATGGTGATGATGATGGTTGTGATGATAATGGTTGAGATGATGATGGTTAGGATGACGATGGTTGGGATGATGATGTTGGTGATGATGGTGACGTTGATGATGATGGTTGGGATAATGATGTTGGTGATGATGGTGACGTTGATGATGATGGTTGGGATTACGATGTTGGTGATGATGATGACGACGTTGATGATGTGTGGGATGACGATGGTGATGATGATGTTGGTGATGATGATGATGGTTGTGATGATGATGGGTGGGATGATGATGCTGATGATGGTGACGACGTTGATGATGATGGTTGGGATGACGATGTTGATGATGATGATGGTTGGGATGATGATGTTGATGATGAAGATGGTTGTGATGACGATGTTGAGGATAGTTTGAGTGATTATGATGTTGATGATGATGTTGGGATGATGTTGATGATTGCAATGTTGATTGGGATGACGATGTTGATGACGATGTTGATGACGGTGGAGATGACAATGTTGATGATGATCGTTTGGATGATGTTGATGATGACGATGTTGATTGGGATGACGATGTTGATGACGATGTTGATGATGATCGTTGGGATGATGTTGATGATGATGACGATGTTGATTGGGATGACGATGTTGATGACGATGTTGCTGACGGTTGGGATGACGATGTTGATGATGATCGTTGGGATGATGATGATGATGATGACGATCTTGATTGGGATGACGATGTTGATGATGATTGGGATGACGATGTTGATGACGGTTTGGATGATGATGTTGATGATGATCGTTGGGATGCTGTTGATGATGATGATGATGACGATGTTGATTGGGATGACGATGTTGATGATAATTGGGATGACGA